AGACTGTTGGTCACCCAACTCCATCCGTAGCACCCTTTATCGGCGTTGGTGATAAATCTCCTCTGAAAGAAGAGGAAAAACCAAAGCTCATTGATGTAAATGATGACAAGGCCCCCACTAAACTAGACGACAAACCAAAGTCTCCACTAGGTTCAGTGAAGGCCATTCAGCAAGAATACTCGGACGATGAAAGCGATGAAGAGTTTGCAATTCCCAAGCCTCAAGACAAGACTGTTGGTCAGCCAACTCCATCCGTAGCACCCTTTATCGGCGTTGGTGATAAATCTCCTCTGAAAGTAGAGGAAAAACCAAAGCTCATTGACGTAAAAGATGACAAGGCCCCCACTAAACTAGACGACAAACCAAAGTCTCCACTAGGTTCTGTGAAGGCCATTCAGCAAGAATACTCGGACGATGAAAGCGATGAAGAGTTTGGAATTCCCAAGCCTCAAGACAAGACTGTTGGTCAGCCAACTTTTCTGAAAGACGAACTAAAGCCTACTTTTTCAGTTTCAAAGGTAGAAGAAAGGTCAACAACAGTTCAATCTAGCATTCACTCCGAAAGCACAGTTGTGAAAGCAGTTGGTATAATTCAGCCATCAGATCCTTTCTCTGGTTTCGAAGGTGACAAGGATAAATCTCCTCTTAAGGAAGATATTAAGCCAAAGCCGATTGAACTTAAAGATGACAAAGCTCCTACTAAACTGGACGACAAACCAAAGTCTCCACTCGATTCGGTGAAGCCTATTCAGCAAGAATACTCGGACGATGAAAGCGATGAAGAGTTTTCAATTCCCAAGCCTCAAGACAAGACTGTTGGTCAGCCAACTCCATCCGTAGCACCCTTTATCGCCGTTGGTGATAAATCTCCTTTGAAAGAAGAGGAAAAACCAAAGCTCATTGACTTAAAAGATGAAAAGGCCTCCACTAAACTAGACGACAAACCAAAGTCTCCACTAGGTTCTGTGAAGGCCATTCAGCAAGAATACTCGGACGATGAAAACGATGAAGAGTTTGGAATTCCCAAGCCTCAAGACAAGACTGTTGGTCAGCCAACTCCATCCGTAGCACCCTTCATCGGCGTTGGTGATAAGTCCCTTCTGAAAGAAGAAATAAAACCTTCTGTTTCTATTTCGAAGGTAGAAGATAGCTCAACAACAGATCAATCTAGCATTCTCTCCGAAAGCACAGTTGTGAAAGCAGTTGGTATAATTCAGCCATCAGATCCGTTCTCTGGTTTTGAAGGTGACAAGGATAAATCTTCTCTTAAACAAGATATTAAGCCAAAGCCGATTGAACTTAAAGAAGACAAAGCTTCTACTAAACTGGACGACAAACCAAAGTCTTCAGTTGCTTCAGTAAAGCCTATTCAGCAAGAATACTCGGACGATGAAAGCGATGAAGAGTTTGCAATTCCCAAGCCTCAAGACAAGACTGTTGGTCAGCCAACTCCATCCGTAGCACCCTTTATCGCCGTTGGTGATAAATCTCCTTTGAAAGAAGAGGAAAAACCAAAGCTCATTGACTTAAAAGATGAAAAGGCCTCCACTAAACTAGACGACAAACCAAAGTCTCCACTAGGTTCTGTGAAGGCCATTCAGCAAGAATACTCGGACGATGAAAGCGATGAAGAGTTTGGAATTCCCAAGCCTCAAGACAAGACTGTTGGTCCGCCAACTCCATCCGTAGCACCCTTCATCGGCGTTGGTGATAAGTCCCTTCTGAAAGAAAATATAAAACCTTCTGTTTCTATTTCGAAGATAGAAGATAGCTCAACAACAGATCAATCTAGCATTCACTCCGAAAGCACAGTTGTAAAAGCAGTTGGTATAATTCAGCCATCAGATCCGTTCTCTGGTTTCGAAGGTGACAAGGATAAATCTCCTCTTAAGGAAGATATTAAGCCAAAGCCGATTGAACTTAAAGATGACAAAGCTCCTACTAAACTGGACGACAAACCAAAGTCTCCACTCGATTCGGTGAAGCCTATTCAGCAAGAATACTCGGACGTCGAAAGCGACGAAGAGTTTGGGATTCCCAAGCCTCAAGACAAGACTGTTGGTCAGCCAACTCTTTCCGTAGCCACCTTCATTGGCGATGGTGATAAAACTCTTAAAGAAGAGGACAAGCCAAAGCCCATTGAAGAAAAACGGGAACCTCTTGGTTCAGAAATGCCAATTCATAAAGATTTTACCGGCACCACTTCTGATCACTTTACCACCTTACCCCCTTATATTTCAACTGAAAACAAATTTAATATTCTTGAAGCTGGTTCAGATAAAGATTTGAGTACGAGTTCTAAAATAAGTTTAGTGTCTAGTTTTGAAGAAAATAGGTCTGTTCAACAGATTGTAGAAGACACAATTAGAGCTGGAGATGCTGAGGTTCAAAAAATCGTAGACGAAACACTTAAAAACGCACAACATTTCAGAATAATAGATAAGATTGTGGACGAAGATGAGCGTTCTGTTGAACAAATAGTCGAAGAAACATTGCAAAGTGCAAAGTTGCTAGGTGATATTTCTGGGGAAGAGGAAAAAGCTCCAAAGATTACCGAACCAGACGCTAAAGAAGTTCGTCCTATTGCATATTTTGTAAATTTGGAAAATGAACAGAAGTTGCCAACTTCGGCTATAAAACTAGTAGTTAAAAAAGAAAAAGCAGTACCTAAGGCAAATATAGGGAAAACAGCTAAGGAAACAAGTTCAAAAGCCACAGTTAAGAGTACCAGTACCCTTAGTAAAAAATCAGTTGGAGTTAAGGGAAAGTCTAAGACCGATTTAAAAACCCCCCCTGTCTCGCAAACCAAAGCAAAGGCTACGGTTACCAGGCAAAGCATAATTAAAAAATCATCAACAACAGAAAAACCAAAAATTTCAACTAAATCCGAGTCAAGACGCTCCGTTACTAGTTCAACTTCAACCACCACCAGTTCGGGTTCCGCTACGAGCCGTGTGATAAGCGAACTGCACTTCGAGAGGTCTGCGAGCCCAGCGTCGAGTTCCATTTTCTACGAAAGCCATCCGCAAGCCGATAGCCGCTCCACAACACCCAGACCTAGGGTTAAGACAGACGTCACACAAATACCCTACAATGCTTCAGTTCGTTCATTTAGTCCCCAGCCCAAGACCAAGAAGTCAGAGAAAATAACCGTGAAACAAACGAAGACAACTGCCACTCGATCTACCAAAGAGCTTACAGTAAGGAGTTCAAAGAAGACTGAACGATTCGGTATCCAAGAACACATGGACACCAAGCGAAGTAAGACCCCAACACCGATTGCTGCCCACAGATACATGCAGCCCACCCTGGCCCACAATATGCGATTTGGATTGAGTGGCGACGGAGAGACTGGTCAGAGTGTCTCTCCGACACCAGCACCTCACAAGTCACCGGCACCACCAAAATCGCCTGCTCCGGCCCTAACAAGAAGTACTCAACGAACACATTTAAAAACAAGTGCCTTGACAAAGTCCTCTTCCCTGGAAACGAAGCAAAAGAAGCCGGTCCCTGAGAAGACCCCAACACAACCCCGTTCCCAGATCAAGAGAGGTTCGCAAAGTGATAGCAAGGAGTCCCTGAAGAGCACAGACCGCCTATACAAACGACAGACATCTAAAGAAAATAAACTAGCAAACGTGATAGGCTCCAAGAGCCAAGCAACCAAAAGCATGAAGACACAATCAGCTACTGCAGCAACGACACTTGCATACAGAACTTCCATAGAATCCGACAACAAGCTTCAGAAGAAGACCACAGCCACTATACAGCGCACCAAAGTTCCGATTAGCGTGTCTTCCAGTGCAAGGACTGCAGCAAAGCTAAGCAAGAGTGATGACGCCGAAAAAAGACCTCAGATAGACAATAAGAAGACAGTTAGGCGAGTGGCAGCCAAGACAAGCGAAATACCTGGCACCTCCGCCACCAAGTCAGTGCCGAGCTCCATAGAGCCCAAGATGCAGAAGAAGATGAAGGACACAATGAACGAGTCCAATTCAAACTCGGGCAGTGGAAGCACCAGTGCGAGTGGCTCCTCGAACAGCACGCGCCGTAGCGTGCGATCCGTTAGCACCGTTAGCAGCCGTAAGACGGACAAGGACCTAACCAACATCCGGAGGGCAGCGGGAGCTGTCGTGTCGACATCGACAGTGCGGGCGCATCGAGAACCAACGGCCACCACCGGCGCTGTTAGCACCGTGCTCGTTGATGACGACTGTGAGGTGATAACCATACGTTCCATTAAATCAAGCGATAGTACAAAAAGTTCTACCTCATCATCCTCCGGTAGCGGCAGCAACAGTCGCAAGGTGCTAACCAGCGAGGTATTCACTAAGACCTTCGGTCCCGACCGGCCGCTCGAGGTGGTCTACCGCCAGCCCGAGTTCGATGTAGAACACCACACCATCATGTCAGTCCGTCCGCCTTCCAACAACAGCGGCGATCAGCAGCGGTGCCTTAACGAGTTCGATGTCAGCTTCATCGACACCACAGACTCCAGTCTCTCGGACTCGGTTGCCCTGCCCATGTTTGGCTCCAGTGATCCGGAGCGGCTGCTGGCCGCCAGCCCAGGATCACCCAAACCGACCCGCAGTCCCCTGGCCCTCATCGAGGAGACACTGCGGCGCCAGCAACAGCAACAGCACCATCATCATCATCAGCAGCACCACCACAGTAGTATTATGGTGGCCGGTGCCGCTGCCCTTGACCCATCCCTACCAATACAAGGGGCCTTAGCTGAGAGTCAACGGGAGGCGGCGGTGACGGTGGTGACTGCGGAGATGGAGGTGGAGAAAGGCAGCACTTTAAAAGGTAAATATGGTAGCAATAATGAAGACATATAAGTATGTTAGGTATGCAGCACATTAATAATTAAGATTAACTTAGCTACGATACTCATCATAATTAGGGCACAGTTACCGAACGCAACTTTTCTTATTGATATGCTTATATATATGAACTTCTTTTACTTAACCCGTTTTTAACTTGTTCTCCACAAATAGCAAACACAAATAACTAAAGCCGTCAAAACCAAGCCATAATATATATTCTACACAACTACAAACCCACCAAGCTAATTAATCAAAAATGTCAAAGAAACTCCCAACTATATCCGTAACTGCCGACAAGCGTTCTACGCATTCCGATTTATCCTCCTCATCGTCATCCCACGACACTGATAGCAATGACATGGACTACGGGCGAGATGGCGCCGGGGGCGTAACCGATGTTGAAGATTTCGACAGCCAGGCCGAGGCTCTGAAGCCCAGCTCGCGGCGAGGCTCTGCATCCAAGTCGTCCCTGAAGCCCAAAGTTCAACCGAAAACTAGCCCCGGCGAACCCGACGTTACCGATGTGGAGGACTACGACACAGAATCGGATGAGGATGAGAAGAGCACGGCATACCCAGAATTGAAAATGTCGCTCCGCGAGTTCCTTCAACAGGGACTCCAGAACCAAGAAGCCGTTGACAATGATGCGAAAGAGAGCTGCGAAATTAGAGCTGGTGACTTCTTGCAAGCACAAAACCTGAATGGCATGGCCGACTATCTAACTGATTGCGAGGACTATGATACAGACTCTGAAGTGGGCTTCGGCTGCGAGAAATCCGTGTGCGTGGATCTGGATCAGGCGGTGGGCGATCAGGGACGAGTCAATATTGCCGATGGCGAGAGGAACCAAGACGACTCCGACCAGTATGAGGATGTGTCCGTGATTAGTGACATCAGCGACCTGGCCTCGGCCATGTCCGATTGCACTGGCATCGGAGTACGTGGTGCGTCCGAAGATGAGGTCCTAGAGGTATCCGATAGTGGTCGCGAAGAGGTCTGCCAGGTTGCCTGCTCGGGGAGTGAGTCAGAGTCGGAGGGCGCGGCCGCCTGGAGTCGTAGTGCAAGTGAGGCCAGTTTTCCAGCCATTGATGTGGCCTTTGTGAGTGCCAGCGGGCAACCTCGGCGGAATTCCAAGTCCAGTATGCCCATGCCGGGACAGAAGCATTTTTTACAGGCGGCGGTAAAGCACGAGGAGGTCTTAACTGATGTCGAAGGCATCGATGACTCTGCAGCAGAAGATAGCTTTGACAACGAGGACGAGGACGAGCAGCCCATACCGCGTGCCATTATTCTGGCCTCTGGCGATGACGGCACCTGTCTAACGGACGTGGAGGACATGTTTTGTGAGGACTCATCGCTCTCCAGCACAGTTCCTGAAGCCCGATCAGTATCCCACGAAGTACTGCCGCTGCCACACCGCGAGGTGGTGGAACTGAAGGAGGACAAGCACGGTGACACCATTACCAATGTGATGCCTATGGACTGCAACTATGAGTTTGGCATTTACAACCATCTTAGGGACACCATTCATACCGACTCGGAGGACTACTCTTGTGCCGATGACTGGAGCCTTCAGCACTCGGTCGCCGAATATTCAGCGGCAGGGGGACCCCATCTAATCGAAAACGAGGTGATCGTATCCAACGAACTCTTGAAACAGCAGCAAAACAAGCGTCTGGAGGTGCAGAGCAACGCGGAGTCCGTCACAGATGTGGAGGAGATTTTTGTAGCCGGTACAAATCGCCGTAAAAAGTTGAAGACCCGCACCCTCAGCAAAGGCAAGAACAAGCTACTAGACGTCGTGAAAGGCAAAGAAGATGGAGTGACCGATGTGGAGGACATGGACCTGAGTGAGTGCGGTCTTCCCCCAGGAGTGAAACGAGTGGAGCAGCTAAAGCTACAGGCGAAGGGATCGAATGCAGACAAGGTAACTGACGCCGAGGACGTATCCACCGACGATGTGTCCGACATCTCTGACGCCTCCGATGTCCCACCGCCATCGACGAGTGACAAGTCGGGAAGCAAGACAAAGCTGCAGCCGCTTCAGTTGCGTCTGCTTAAGGACGATATCGTCAATCAACAGCTCACCGACGTGGAGGACGTTCAGCTGCCATCGGAGGCGGAGGATGCTCTGGAGCCACCGGCCATTCCAGTGGCCAATAGCAATAGTAAGGAGCTCAATGACATGTTGAACGAGAGCTACACGGTGGTGCACGAGAGGACTGGTCGCAGCTTCAACAGCGAGGCCGAGAAGCTGCATATAAAAGGCATGATCCGAGATGCCTATACCGACGTTGAGTATGTTGAGTCCGACGAGTCAGCCGCTAGGGGAGGCAACTAGCCGCCCTCTTTGCGTGTCCTCACCCGATCCGATCCGACTCGGTCGCAAGCTGTTGCCAAAATAAATCTCAACAATAGTTCATAAGTGTTTATAGATACGAAAATCCCAACACACACACTCAAGCATTTTGTAAGTAAAGCCAACAATTACCAAACATTTTTGTTCAAGTTCTTGCCACAATCAAAAAGCAGCAAAAAGCCTTAAATCTACTCGCATCGTTCCCATAAGTCTATCCCCCGTGCCAGTGCCATACTAACAGATTTCTTATCGTCACCTAGGCGCCGTTCTACTAACATCCACACTCTATTGTTGATCCTAACCGTTCTTAATGCTAACAGAAATGTTATTTGGAAATATCCTTTTGTTTGTCCTTTGTTCGATTGTCTGTAAATCATTCATTATCATTTCGTTTGTAGAGTATTCTAATGTAGCCCTAGGTCACTTTTGTGTTCCTTTCTTACATGCGTAGAATGTCTCTAATCTTTGGCTTGTTTATTGCAGAAAACCTTCAGGAAAAAAAAATAGACCTATCCAGTCTGGATACCGTACAGATCTCACAAGAAATTGGTAAGTCCTCGACGAAATTCAAAGCTTAAATAAGTCAGGTTTTCATAGTGCTCGTAACTCATAATGCTTCATATTAGTGCGCCAAATTTGTATATATGTCGTATTAGTTTCGAAATGCAATTAAAGCTCATCGAGAAAATAATCTTAGCGGCTTTAATTTTTTAATAAACTCAGCTCAGTGCCACAGAGAACTCGCTCACATCACCAACCAAACTCACCGCCATCCAGCCATCACACATTATTTGCACATTCTTCTCGCCTGTCTCATCGCTTCTCTCTTCATGATTTCCAAGCTTGATCTGCTCTTCACTCTCTGTTTCTATCTGTCCAATTTCTATCTACCATTGAACTGTGCAATTGTCTTCCAGGTGATGTTAAAGTTGGTGGTGGTGATGATGATGATGGCAATGGCGATGGCGAAGATCTTGTGGCGCGCATTCGCGAGGAAGCCAATATCCTGGTGGATCGCGTGCTCGAAGAGAGTGTCGAGATCATCGAGAGCCACGGCCAGCAGGCCAATGGCCACGAGATCGTTAAGCTGGACTATAACTCAGAAAGTGAGAATTATGCCATCACATGCGATGACATTGGCGGTGTCGATGTCATCAAATCGCCCACCATTGAGTCCATGTCGGGCAAGTCGTTCGACGACAACATGAGCTTCACCGACGAGCACATACATTTACCCTTGCATGCCCAGAACACGACCACCACCACGACAACGACAGTAACCACTCAGTTCCAACAGCAGCAGTCCCAGGCGATTTCCCACACTGCTGCCACAAGCTCATCCGCGGCAAAAGGTAACATACCACCATACCATAGAGTCAAGCTTCGAGGTAGTCCTGCGATAGCTAAGCAGTTAGGCTCGCACCCGGCGAATAGTATTCTATAGTGCGTTGTCCGTTGGCTATAATCACTCTCCTGTATTGTTTGCTTGTTTGCTCCCATTCCCGTGTCATTCTCCATTCAGAACCCGTTCCTGTACCCGAACCCGTAGCCGTACCTCCTCCCGTACCAGTAGTGTCTAGTCGAGATCAGGCCGAAGATATGAGCGAGACTCGGGCGAGGCGCATCGATCGCAAGATCGAGAAGCTATCAACGGACATGGACGACGTGAGCGCCAAGTTTGATGAGGCGTTCGAGGCGGCGGTGCCTGAGGACGAGATCAGTGCCCTGCAGGGTGACTTCTCCAAGCTCAGCTGGGACGACAGCGTGTCGCCCACGACCAACACAATGGCCGATATGGCCCAGAACCAGATAACGCCCGATAACGACATTCAAGATCTCATCGCAGGTACCTGATAAGCAAAAGCGAAGCTGCTAAAATTAAGCTATGATTTTATTCCTTTGCCCATTGCGATGCCGTCGATAGAGCATAAAGACCCTCTCTAGACTTGTGTGCAGTGTTCAGTTTGGCGGCCAATAAAGACTTTTCGTTCAAGTTGAGCTCTAATTGCATTTAAACCTATTAATTCTGTTTGTATTCATATTATCTCATATAAAATATGCATGCCATCCTCTGTCTACCTACCTTACTATATCTCTATTAACGTATCTTTACAATGCTAACCATGTACTCGAATGCATCACCTATACTCGTACCTATATCGTTTCTGTTTTGGATTTCGTTTACGTTTCCGTTTCCTGTCTCTATCCTATAATCGTATGATTGTGTTTACTCTTCCTCATCTTCTGTTCTCGACTTTCACAACACTTTTAAAATTGCTTTCGTTTTCACACCTATTGTTTTGTAGAAACAGGCGGCGATTTACCGATCTCAAGTGAAACCGAAACCACTCCCGTACCACCGTCGGCTGCCGTGGCCAGCTCAACAGCGAAAAAAACTGAAACAGAAAGCAAAACCGAAACTGAGCCGGCGGTAGAAACCAATACATTCACTACCACCAGCCTCGACACACCCACACCAAAACCACGAGTACTCAAAGCAAGCTCCCCACTCTCCGAAGGCACCGATAGCACTACCATCCCTGGCCCAGTGTCCAGACCCGAACTACCGGTTGATATTAGTTTTGACGCCGCACCGGTTCCAAAGCCCCGTGCGCCCATCAAGCACACGGAGCCGTTCGAGAATCTGGCCGCCTTAGCCGAACAGTCCGACAGCATTAGTCTGCGGAGTTTTGACTTCACCGAGGAGCTGTCCAAGACGGATGAGCCCTCCACAGAGCTCTCCATCCGCTCCCAACTGCGCGACATAGTCACCACAACCGCTACGACCACTGCCTCAGAGGATCATACGGAGAGCTTCGAGCCTACGAGTGAGATTTCAGTAGATGATGCTGATACCGAAAAGTCGGAGGGCGCTGAAAAGACCACTAGCTTCTACATCGGGGAGTCCAGTCGAAATGTTATCATCAAGACGTCGACAAGGTCGGCGAGTGTAACGCCCCAGGAAGAAGAGGCCGCAACAGATATAGGAATCGATGCCAAGGATATATCATTGATGAAGGAAGTATCCGTTGACTCGGACGAGGCCAATGACGTGTTCAAGGAATATGTGACCATGAAGCCCGACGATGCTGCAGCAGCGAACAGTAAGATCGAGAGGCAGGGCTCGGAGACTAGAAATGATCTGCTCGAGTTTGAGAATGCCGATAAGGACAAGGCTGGCGAACCTAAGCTCTCCAAGGTAACCACCGAGGAGAGTTTAACCACATCCACTGGATCCAGTGGCCGAGCCATTCTAGAGGTGGCCCCATCAAGCAGTGAAGATCCAGATGAGTCCAGTAAGGAAATCCCGGAAATTGTGAATACCATTTCCGAAAAGGTCACATCCACCGATCGATTTGAATTGCCTCTGGAAAAGAGTGAATGGGAAACGTCGGAGAAGGAAATACCAACTGAGGGCAAGCCAAAAGTGGTTCACTCACCACAGCAGCCATTGACCACCAGCGTAAAGAGTGTCATCGATGAGTCGGTGGTAGGAGTAACTCTTGCCGAAGTGCAGGAAGAAGTCAAGAGCTTCGTTGAAAAACGAGAAGTAATTAAAGAGCTACCCTCGGATTTTGAATTCAATGCCATGCCCTCTGGGATCAGTGGGCCCACAGCGGAGACAGACGATATATCATCCTTTATAGGCATTCCCGATGCTAGCATGCACACTTCCACTTTGGACAGCACTCTGCCGCCCGAAGGCCTGTTTGACACCACCATCAAGGAGACGCTGAACAAGCAAGCGGCGATGGCTCACTATGCCCAGGATGTGTTCGGAAGAGCAGAGCGACGGGACGATCACGGTTCCCTCGGCTTTATTTCAACAGGAACTGCTGAAGAGTTGAGCTCCATGGAAGAGCACATGGCCAAGGAGGAGCAGGCCTCGTTAGGCTTTATATCAACAGAGACAGCCGAAGATTTTAGCTCAATGGAGGATTACTATACGGAGAAATTGGCCTCAGCCAGCGTGGTTGCAGAGGAAATGGCTGCAGACAAATCGATCACCACCAGCACCTTTGAGGAGCTCACCTCGGATCAGTCCATTAAGCCAGTCGATGTGGTGGTTCACCGCCTGAAGAACAAGTCATCGCCGGATTCAATCAACCGCTGGTCAATCCCTGATGTGGACAACTCCAGCTCAAGCGAGAGCTTCCACAAGAGCTTCGACAAGACTCAGAGCCGGCCGCTTTCCTCTGACATGGACAACCTTTTAACTGCCACAGGAACCGGCACAGGCACCTCTAGCGATTACCAGACCGCTCGGGAGTTCACTTCGACCTACCGCACCGATGGCACCGAGTACATTAGTGCAGTCAGTACCCTAGGCAGCAGTAGCTTGGATTCCCAGTCTGAGACCTCGGCCAACTTGGCCAGCATTGACGTGTCCGAGTTATCGGAGACACTGGTGGCCTCCTCCGCGGATGTGGATGCCTTTGAGGCTGATGAGATGTCGCGACTGCGTGATCTGCGTGCCGATGACGAGGACAGTGATGAGAGTCTGGACTTGCCGGGAGTCGCTTATCCAACCAGCGAACAGCAGAGCCTCATGAAGCGCTCCCAGGAGATGATTTTCAAGCCAAAGACGGAGGTGGAGGAACAGCAGCAGCCTCTGGAGGCAGTGAAAATAGAGGAATATCCCAAGCTCAAGGAGGCGGAACGTACCTGGGGCCTGGCATATCCCCTGGAGGACAACAAGGCCGACAGCCCGAAGGAAAGCGAAAGGGGCGAGGATATCCTCTTTTACCACGGTGACCCACGACGGTCCATTGACGAGTCCAAGTTAGCCTCAAGCTTAGACGAGGGCAGCATCCTTTCGGTGAGCATGTCGAGCACTTCCAACATTGACACAGTTGTGGAGAACTTTGATGATATAATTGGATCGGCGGGATCCTCCTCGCTGACCGGCATCGAAGGCTTCCAATACGGGCATGATGAGCCCATTCCATCTGCCTCTGTGCCGGAGGACGCCACGTTCATGCTGGAGATGGAAAGCAAGGAGCACTCGCCGCAGGACTCCAATGCCAGTACACCGCCAGGAGGGGAATCAAAGCGCCGTGGCCATAAGCGCAATGAGAGTATTTCCGGGGACGCCTTGAAGAACCTGGACAAGGAGGTGGCCCTGCTGGGCGAGGGCAAGGAATCAGAAAGCGAGTCGGATACGGATCCCTACGAGTCGGAATATGCCCGGCAGTTCCGCTCTCCCAAGGAGCGAAAAAATAAAAAGAAAAAGCAGGCGGCAGCCGAAATGGATCACAGTGCCGAGCTGGAGAAGCGTCCGTTCACTCCCTCCCAGTTGGTGGCCGAGATAATCGTAGAGGATGACACAGAGGAGCAGGAGGCGGAGGCTGCCATGATTGAAGAGCGTCGCCCCTCGCAGAACATGCAAGACTATTCAAACATTCCCGACATAATGGTCACGGAGGACATCAAGTCGCCGATTCTGGAGGAGGAGACCGATGAATTTCCCGAAAAGACCCCCCTGTACAAGGTGCGCACCGAAGAGGAGCTGCACAAGGCCAGCGATGCCTCAGTCTATCAGAAGGAAAAGGCAGAAGAAAAGGAGCAGGACTTTCAGCGACGAGTGCAGGAACAATACCGGCAGAAGCTCGAAGAACTGAAGCGTGCCGAGGTCGGGGCAGAGTACGATGATCGCAGGGCTCCCGACTCGCCGGACTCTTTTGAAATGGTCGAACAGCCTGACATTTCGGACGAGTTTGTGATAATCGAAGAGGTGGCCAAGGAAGCCAATGAAGTGGATCTCGGCGGAAAGAGCATTAAGATAAAGCCCATCAAGTATGAGCAAAAGCACGACGAAGACGTTGAAAAGATCATTATCAAGTCGGCTCCGGCGGATCCCAAGCTCGGCTCTCAGCTGTACAAGGACGACCTGAATTTCGAGTTCGAAGAGAGCCCGCCGACAGCAGCCAGCAGCAGCAGCGAGCAGCAGGAAGAAAGTGATTCGAGCGACACTGCTGCCGCCAACAAGCGCTGGGTGGAGATGCAGCTGACGGACAACCAGCTGCGTTATCCATACGACCTGGCCGGCGCCGTGCTGGAGGACATCAAGGAGGAAGACGGCGAGTTCGAGGTGGGCAGCAGTCGCATCAGCAGCTTCAAGGACTCCTTCTCGAGCACACCCGAATACGACATGGCAGCACGTCGCTACCACTCCCGAGGCGAGCACGACGATGTGTCCATGAGTAGTCTGCAGGAGTTCGAATCGCTGGAGCAGGCCATTTCCCTGGAGAATCGCAACCGGACCCACCAGGGCTCCACCGACTCCAGCAACGGCAGCTTCACCCGCCGCTATGTGGTTCGCCACAGTGGCAGTGGAACGGCCCCGGGCGATGATGTGTCCGTCTCCAGTCTAAAGGATTTCGAGGGCCTTGAGAACGCCTGCATCGAAGCTCACCTGATCGAGACCAAGGCCAGGGAAGAAGCGGCACTGCTGTCGCGCTCAGATGAATCAAACAAATCAAACGGCAGCGACAAGGGAGCCGCCGGCGGTAATGTCGTGGTAACCAAGGTGACCCGCACAGTAACCCGCACAGAAGTGGTTCCTTCCACTCAGGCGGAGAGCATCGAAGCCCTGCTCAAGCAGAAGTTGGAACGGGAGGAATCAAAGCTGGGATCTGCTTCGGTGAAACTCACAGACATAAGCACCACTGATCTGGAGCCCAAGTCCAAGATCGACAGCCAGGATTCCGAGAAGGATAGCATTGACAGCATGGAGATTAGCAAGAGCCACGACATGATGACCAGCAGCATAGAGAGCTTCGACATCTCCAAGGACGCCACCACGCGATCTGACATCGACTCTCTGGAGATCGACAAGCGGCACTCGCGGCAGGAGAGCATAGAGTCCTTCGGGGACGAGCAACTGGACCTGATGACCAAGTTCGTCAGCGGCGGAGGAGGAGTGACCTTGGGCGATGGTCTGACCACCACCACGACAACAACGACCACCAGCACGGATGCCGATGGGCATGAGCACACAGTAACGCGGGTGATAACCACCACAACGTCAGTGGGCGGTGGAATTCAGGAGCTGCCGCTGGACGAGAGCGGAATGTCCAAGGATGTATCGGTGGATTCGCTGAACCTGTGCGTGGAGCAGACAACCAGCTCGGCTGGCACCACGGCCACGTACCAGACCAGCGCCGGCAACTCGCAGATGTCTGGAAGCGTGACCAGCTGCGCCTCGAGCACGCTCATGGAGGATTCGTTCCCTGGTGTGGGTGGCATGTCGTCGTCGCAAATGTCGGCCAGTTTCTGGTCGCACGATGAGTCCACGGTGGTCGAGGATGAGGGCCACGACCCCGCCGCCAAGAAGCAGCTGCAGGGCCAGTAGACGCCGGATGCAAGTGAGGGAGAAGAAATGGGAGAGTCCCGCGAAATCCTATATGAAAATGGGGCTTGAACGGTGGCATAGAAAATTCGGCTAGGTAAGCATCCCACGGCAAGGCTGCGCGGCTTTTCGTTTTACTTTTGTTTTGTGTCTTTACTTGGCCTTCGACTTAGAAGCAGAGCTCAACTTTGACAGAGAAAAGTAATACCCGCCGCCCCACCTCGACCCAACTAGCCAGCTAACCGGCATTCTTCCCTTTCTTCTGTTCTTTCAGACAAGGCGCTCTTCTAGACGGAATCCCTGGACGGAATACGCAATTTCACCGGCTCTGAACATCACCGATTTCAAATCGAACAGCGAAAGGGATTAATTAATTAGCAAATTTGACATTTTCCATCAACACATTTTTAAAGATATTGAAGTGCATAAACATACACGAGTTTTTAAAGGGAAATATATATATTTTATATATTTATAAAAACTATAAAACGGCAAATATGAATACGAATATGAATATGGCAAGCTTAGCCGTTCAACGCATTTTCTTATTGGCTTTAATGTTTAAAAATTACATAAAATGAAGAAAGAAACAAAAACATATACGTTTTGTGCTAGAGCGTTGTAATGGAACACACCTTTGCTTTTAATTTGATGTAGTTATTATATATGTACATGTCGAAGGATACTTATTATTAAATGAATCGCTTATTATTGTAGTTTAATTTAAGCAAATATACAAGCGCATGTGGACAAGGGGACGTAATGAAGTAGGAGAAGCCTGGAAAGTGAAATGCTTTTAAAGTCTCATTTTTTACAAGAACCAAGCAAATTTTATACGCTTGCATATTTTAACAGTGAATATACATAAATATACAATCCCAAGAGTAATGCATAGATCAAATTTAAACATATACAGACAAGATATTAAATTTATTCACATAGAACTACCAGCCATCAAGTGTATCGCTAATTTTCGTAATGCACCACTGTAATGGGATATGAATAAAATAATATTTGTGTTAAAAGACAAGAAATAAAAATAACATTATTGTATTGTAAACCACACGCGTATGAATAACCAAATAAAATGCTTAATAAAAAGTGTGTGTTTTGATTTTTTTCCCCATCTATAATATATTTTAGATTCTGGGGTCTGTTAATTTTCTGATCAAATAATCATTTCAGTTTGAAATAAGAAAAATTTGGTAAATAGATTTTTAAATAAACAAACCAGTGGCGAGTACATGTATATACTTTTTAATAATATTACATATGTGCTGTGTAAAAATTTTAAGCGGATCGGTTCGGTTCTTGATGGAATCAAGAATATATATGATTTATAGGATCGGAAATGACTCCTTCAGCATTGCTTGCTTCTGACTAAATTTATAATGCCTCGGTATTAGATTTTAAATATTTATCCATCATTTTATATGATAATTTTTTGGGAAAAATTAAAACTTACGAATATCATAACTCTGCCAAAAAGGCATTAATTTCAATTTGGAAAGCGGTTCTTCGTTCGTTTTCATAACTTTAATAAATCTGATACTGAATCTTACATTTTCAAAAATTAAAAATGTTATGCATTTTTTCAAATTTTAACGATGTAACCCCTTATCAAATTTTGAAAAAAAGGCTTAAAAATTGTTTTCCTTCGGACATGGCTAAAACAATTCGGCTGTTGATGCTGATCAAGAATATATATGATTTATGAGGTCGGAAACGACTCCTTCACTGCGTTAATACCTTCTGACTGAAAAGGGGTATTAAAATTTTAATATGTATCCATACATTTTTCTAATATTTTATCGTTATACTGTAAATTTAAACATTTTTTTTAGAACAAGAAAGAAAGCTAACTTTGGCCAGCCAAAGTTTGTATACCCTTGCAGGTAACAATTAAAATATATCATAACTACACTGATAAAAAAAATAAAATCTTCTTTTGAGATTTTGCGCATTCTTAATTTAAAATCTTACTATAAGACCAAAAATTCTAGAAAGGAGATTTTTCAGGGTATATTTACGAACAAAATAATCTACTTTTAAGATTTGCACATTTTTTGGCATTCTTAAAAAAAAATCTTAAAAAAAGACCAAATATTCTAATAAGAAGAAGAAAAAATCATAAAGTAATACCGAAAATGATTCATTTTAAGAAATAAAAATCGTAAATTAAGATTTTTGTTAATCTTAAAAATTCAGAAGAGACGGCTTCTAGTGTTGTCTCTTTTTTTTCTCACACAAAAATGGAAGTCATAGTGCCGTCTCGCTCTTACGACCATTCTTAAAAAATCTATTTTTAGCTCAGAGGGGAGATACATTTTTTTTTTGTTTTCTCTGTCCTTGGAACTGTATGTATTCACGTTCCCGACATTAGTGTTTGATTTGCCTCAGTGGCCCAGTTGGTAAGCGGTCGGTCTGTGAATTTTTGAGACATGGGTTCGGATCCCAGCCGGGAAAAAAAATGTAAGTAGCTTTTAATAAAATTTCTAATACTAATTTAATTTACAATAATCACTTCTAGCTCTATAATTACAGATTATACAAATTCTTTCACAATAATGTTTGTTGGGTCAAAACCCAAATAGTACATTTGATTATAGTCAAATTCCGCGCCTTCTGACTGTTAGGTAACATTACATCTGTTATACGGATGCTGCCAACTCATATGAACGAATGGGTGGCAGAGAGAAGAAGAAATAGAGAAGAAAGAACTTGAAGTTGTACGCCATTAGCATTATTGGAAAAAAGTTGAAGTTGAAGAGAACTGAATTAAGAATTATCAATAAAGTTATACAATTAAACTAGCACCTCCGACTAATTATTTTACACTCAAGAATAAAGCTCTTGTTTTAACATTTTGGCGACCGTGACAGGACTAGTGCTAGTTTATTTTGTCTAATTTTGTGGTGATTTGTGGTTAAGTTTTCCGCCATCTTCTACTTGACCAAGTTTCGCACGCGCTATTACGAATTTGCCCTGCCAAAGTTTCGTACATTCGCGCATCGCGTTCGCTGCCGGTTTACCCAGCGTCCGCCTCACCTTGTCGCTCGCACGTCTGCACACCCACTTGGTGCAGCCTTTGTGCATCCACCGGAGCCTCTGCCGGCCACATAACTCCCGCTGCAGCAGTCCCTGCCACTGTTCACGGTCGTTGTGGATCAACATATAGTCTGGACATCGTTGGAGTGGACACGCCATCCTCCAAGCCTCACAGTCATAGTTGAAGTCGACGTCTCGGTCCTTCATCTATACATCTCCCCAGCGGAGCACCCCCAATACATAACCTCAATCGTCCACAGCACATTTTTTTGCACTGTCCTCTTTGGCCATCGTTTTGCACCGCTGCTCGGTGAGCAAAACTTTCCACTACATCTCGTCGTCTCGCTCGCTCTCACATACCTTGTCAAGCAAGGCATCGCCAACCCGAAATTTAATAAAGTAAACAATCAAAATGTCTTCGCTGGAGCAACTTAAGTCTCAGCGAACGAGTGCTCGAAAGAACCTTACGCGCATGAGCAAATCAGTGGAACCTGACTTGAATCTATCTCCGTTGGAACTCGCTTGCCGTTTGTCGATTTTGGAATCGTATTTTAAACTCGCTTTATCCACACAGGAGGCCATAGAGCAGTTGGATCCAGCTGAGCTACACCGCAGCACTCGTTTCGAGTTAGAGGAGTTATTCATCCAAGCCAAGGTTTGCGTTCAAGAACAGCTTGGACCAGAAGCAAACAGCACAGGCATAAACGAATCTACGGTTAATTTTGGGCATACGACTGCAGTCAAGCTTCCTCGCTTAGCGTTGCCAACATTCGACGGCAAGTACTGCGAGTACCAAAACTTCATCACGTCGTTCAATCAGGTCGTAGGCCACCAGCCATCAATGTCTAAGATCGAGAAGTTCAACCAGTTGCTAAACTGTCTTCGAGGACCCGCCCTAGAAACGGTACGAGCATTCCAGGTGACCGCAGACAACTACACGAAGGCTCTGGATCGCTTAAAGCAGCGCTACGACAACCCAACTCTCGTCTTCTTGGACAACATATCGTCGCTCTTCGCTTTGCCAACCGCTGCCAAAGCAAATGGTCAGCAGTTGCGCAGTCTAATCGACAATGCGTCCGCATTGTACAACTCGTTGCGTTCGTTGGGCAACGAGACACAGATCTGTCAGGCCATGCTCATCTCTATAGTCATGGGAAAGGTGGACCAGGAGACCAAGAGGAAATGGAATGAGTCATTGGATTATACCGTCTTGCCTTCTTGGGATAACTGTGTTCAAGTCGTCGAACGTCATTGCCAATATTTGGAATCGGATAAGAAGCCTGCTGCTGAAGCCTCTATGGTCCAACCAGGCGGCCATAGATCGCGCTCGCAAAGGAACCAGGCAAGTCTGTCCTTCAATTGTACAACGCAAACTTGTAACATCTGTTCAAATACAGATCACAAGACCTTTAGATGCCCAGAACTAATTAATCTCGCCCTAGAAAATCGTCTCAATGCAGTAAAACGCTACAAGCTATGCATTAATTGTCTCGGCAAGAATCATCTTGTCGCCAACTGCCCGTCTACACAGAGATGCCGCACCTGTGCGTTAGCGCATCATACTCTGCTTCATCGGCCCTCACCTGGGTCGACCGCAACTCCCTTGCCACAACCTCAAGCGGAGTCTGCACAAGTTTCGGACGCAGTCACACATACTCACACGGAACCGCGTTCCGATTGCGTCATCCTGGCCACAGCGCTGGTCCTGGTCAAGGATGCGTCCGGATGCTACAAAATAGGAAGAGCGCTTTTGGATTCATGCTCTCAGGTGAATTTCATATCCGAGGAGTTCGCCCAAAGTCTCCGACTGCCGCGGAGCAAACGCAACCTAGAGATTCGTAGCATTGGAGAGACGCAAACGCAAATCAAACACCATACAACCACCAATATCAAGTCGAGGCACAACCATTTCGAGCTACTCCTTGATTTTTGCGTGACATCACACATCGCCTATCACCCAGATTCGGAAATTGACATTTCCTCATGGAATCTTCCGCAGCATTCATCGCTAGCCGACGAACACTTCAACAAGTCTCGTCGCATCGATTTGCTTTTAGGCACGGAAACCTTCTTCGATATCTTGGCAGTCGGCCAAGTTAAATTAGGAAAGGATCTGCCCGTACTCCAGAAAACGCTACTTGGATGGATAGTGTCTGGTCGATGCAGAGCTCATCCCAGAACCCTCCATCAGTACTCATCTATCGTACTAGATAAAATTGACGAAAATCTGGAACGTCTATGGCGCATCGATCATGTAGTGACTCCCGAGAATACACTTACGCCGGAGCAGCGAAATTGTGAGGAGTTCTACACAACCACGGTACGACGCAACTCTGATGGTCGAGTGGAAGTACGACTCCCATTTAAGGATGCACCTACCGCTCTCGGAGCCTCATTCGACATCGCGAGGAGGAGATTTTTATCGCTCGAACGCAACCTAGGCAAACGGCCTGAGGTATGGGCCAAATATGTACAATTCATGCAGGAGTTCCAAGACCTGGGACATATGAGTCTCGTGGGTCACCCGCAGTTAAACACTCCGCATTATTATATTCCACACCACTGCGTGCTTAAGCCAAATAGCACATCAACGAAGCTCAGAGTGGTTTTCGACGCATCTTGCAAGACAACGTCCCAGAAATCGCTCAACGATCTTTTAATGGTCGGGCCGACCATTCAGCCAGACCTTTATACATTGCTTCTTCGTTTTCGTATACACCGCTATGCAATCACTGCGGATGTAGTAAAGATGTTCCGTCAAGTCAACGTGTCTGCCCAAGATCGCAGATTTCAATACATCCTTTGGAGAGCTTCGCCATCGCAACCCTTAAGCACCTTCGAATTGAATACCGTAACGTATGGTACGGCGGCTGCACCGTATCTGGCCATACGCAGCATGTCCTATCTAGCCGACCACTTCATGGACAAATTGAGAATTGGGGCTGAAGCCATCAAATCGTCGTTCTATGTGGATGACTTCCTGGGTGGATCGGACACGGTAGAGGAGCTACATCAAATCAAGAGGGAAGTTACAACGATTCTACAGGATGGTC